TTACGTTGAAATCGTATTTGGGCTTGGAAACACTTGGCAGCTTTAGCTGTTGATAGTTTAATGATAGCAGTGTTTCAGTGAGCCCTGGTGGCCCATGTGAAGAGAACGATATATGGATGCAGTGCTCCGGTAATTCGATATGCGCCAACGGTTTTTGCACGTGCCCCAGCGGAGAACGAGTTATCAGCGGTGTTTGTGCAGCGGTCGACTCACAAGGTATGGATTACAAAAGCATTTTCAGCAGAATAGCGGTTTCATGTCCCTTGCAAGAAAAAAGTGTTGTGGGCTACAAATTTTACATAGGACTAGAAATTCAAAAAAAGATTCTGAGAAATCAGCGTAAAACTGTTGCTATTTCACCGTTATGCAAAACGAGAACCCTGCGTGCGATGCTAAATCGTCATTTTCATGCGCCTGGGCCTCATGTGCAGACTCCTTAAAAAATTTATGCAAATTTTCTGGTGGGAAAACGATTTCGGGAATATATATATATATACATATACATATATATATATACATATATATATATGCGTTTCCGTCAATATGAGTTTTTGCATTTTTGCACAAATGTGCAAAAACGTATGAAAATCGATTAACAAGTAATTTTCCTTGTTTGCTTTGAAAAGTGTACAGACACGAACTGCTGGTGGATTGTAGGAGCACCAGGGGAAGTGTGCGAGCCAGGATATACAAAATGTACAGGCGGTTCGATATGCGTTGACCACTATTGCAAATGCCTCTCAAATCAGGTAATTTTAAGAATATTGCAGTTCCACATCAAAAGTGGTTTTCAGCCATCAGTATCGTTAGTGATAGCTAGGAATTGTAAGAAAAAACGTGATCGTATGTAAAATATTGACGAAAGGAACGCTGGTAGATGCAGTTATTTACTGACAGCGAAACTGCAGGAAATCGTTGACATTCTTGCAAGCGGATGTTTGCTTATGGCAGAGTGTTATTTTCTGCTCCATTCCGGGTGTTTCCGTCTCTTCTAAATTACTGCGTGAAGAGGGTCTTGACTGTTCTGTTTCGAAAAACTTTGATGATTAGGTTGCTAGTGATAGGTAAGAAGTGTGAAAATTTTATTTATTTAACCACCGGGTACCGCTTTTTTAACCACTTTGAATGTGGTAGGATTTGTCAAGAAAAGTGCTTACTTAGGTCAGTTTTTATGCGTTCGTTGCAGCTATGCAATGCAGAAAACGCATACTGA